TTGCTTTATGAGCAAATGTCAGACTGACTAGGCCTGTATCCGTTGGAGTTTAGAAGAGTCAGAGGTAACTTTAAAATTGAAACTGAAGACAGTGAGGGGACTTGAACAGGTGGGTGTCAAAAGGATGTTTCCTCTGGTGGGAGAATCTAAAACTAAATGTCAATTTAAAAATATGGGGTCACCATTTAAAACAGATGAGGATATTCTTTTTGTCGAAGGGTTGAATGGCAGTCGATGCAGAATCTTTAAATGTTTTTAAGGCAAAGATAGATTTTTGATTACCAAGGAGATTATCAGGGATCTGCAGGAATGTAGAGTTGAGATGAAATCAGGCAGCCATGATCTTATTTGAATAGCAGAGCAGGGTTGAAGGGCCAAATGGCCCATTCTCGTTCATTGACGTGTGTTTGTATGTTCGTACGAAATGTCAGATTTCGTGGCAAAAAAAAAAGGGTGTGAAGATGTAGCAATTGATAGTATTGTCAATAGGACAACTGCCAGATTTCAAAAGCAAAGATCCATTCAAAATAAGGATAACTCTGACCTCTGTACACTTTAACTCCACTTGATCTCCCCAATACCTTCTGAAATCTCCATAGAAAGTTGGCATTTTTGTTGCCTCATTCCTTGTTGTGTTCATGTCGCTGGAGCAAGGGGCCAGTCGAGAATAGGATTTAATAGTATTGTCTCCTGTTGCATGAAGGTCATTGATGTATGGCCGAAGTTGTTAGCATCCTAATATGAAGCGCTGCATCTCCAAAGACCTTGCACAATGTTTGTAAGAACTCTACGCTGGTTTTTGTTGGACTCTGAGACAACGATGTATAATTGGCCAACCCAGCATGTTAGCAAGCCTTACCAGAAAGTAATTTAGTTCTAGATGATACTGGTAAAACAGTGTAATCTTTACATTTACTATGCTTGATGTAATTAAAATTCTTCTTTCTTCCCTGAAAGAAACACATTTAAGTTTTCTAGTGTAAGCATATGAGAAGCAATTTAGACACTCCCTTAAATGTTCACATGAAAAATATATACCACACATGGTTTTCAAAAGAAGAACTTCTTTTGCACGAACGAATATTGTTGCAACTGGTGGAAGACAACTCCTGAAAGCGCAGTATAAATTATAATATCTTTGATTTGAATCATTGAATCCCTACAAGGCAGACTGAGGCCATTTGGCCCATCAAGTCTGCACCAACCCTTTGAAAAGCATCCCATCCTATCCCTGTAACCTTGCATTTACCATGGCTAATCCATCTACCCTGTATATCCCTGGACAATAAAGTGTAACTTAGATTGGCTGGCAAACCAACCTAACCTGCACTTCTTTAGACTGTCAGAGGTTAATGCACTCAGACATGGGGAGAAGAACATGCAAACTCCACATAGTCACCCAAGGCTAGAATTGAAACTTGATCCTGGGACTGTGAGGCAGCAGTATTATACCACTGAGCTACCATGCCACCCGTCTGAACATTGTCTGTCTTTTGCAGCTTGTTACCTCAATAAGATTGAGGCATTCAACTGCACAAAACCAAGAAGTATATTTTCTAATTGTGGTAAGATCTAGCTCGGTGCTTCAAAGGGTTAAAAGAATTCTTCTTCCATTTTGGAATCTGTCAAGTTTCAGACAGGTTTGCTTCAGACCGAGTGCTTTTCTAGGATTTAGAAGAATGAGAAGTGATCTCATTGAAACACAAGATTTAGAAGGGGTTTGACAAGTTCCAGAATTTGTCTCTACTGACTCGGGAGTCTAAAATGTGAGGACACAGTGATTTGATAGGCGTGGAGAACAGAGCATTTGGAACAGCAGAAATTTCTTCACCTAAAAGGTTGGATTCTGCAGCCAGATGGTTGTGAATACTCAATGATTGAATATATTTAATGCTGAAAGATTTTTTTTTGATTTTTTAGGGTATCAAGAGATACGGCAACAGACAGGAAAATGAAATTGAAGTTCAAAATCAGCCAAAATCTTACTGAATGGTAGAATAGACTTGACAGGCTGTTTGGTGTACTCCTGTTCCTATCTCCTCCGTTCTTGTGTTTCCTGGTATTCTTTCCTAGTTAGCTAAATTTAGCTCTGGAAATTTGCTCTTACATAGAGATGTTCAGGAAGATGACCAAAAACTTGGACAAAGAAGTAAGTTTTAAGAAGCATGTTAAGGAAGAGTACAGTCGCAGAAGTTTGGGAGGAAATTCCAGACCTTGGTACTTTGGCAACTGAAGGCATGGTGGGTGAACCAATTAAAATCCAAGATGCTGAAGATCAGTGTTAACCGATTTCTCGGACTGTTAACAGGTTGAAGGAAATTTGAGATAGGAAGGGGCAAAGCTGTGGAGGAGTTGGAAATCGAGGCATCAAGACTTAACAAGCATAGGATTGGTAAGTGAAGGTAGTGGGAATTAGGGCACAAGCAGCAGTTTTGAATGACTTCATTTACCAAGCCAGCCTTGGAATAGTCAAATCTATGGAGAACAAAGGATGAGGTTACAGCAGCAGTTGCTTTGATGGAGGGACACAGGGTGATGTTATTGAGGTGGGAATAGAATTGGTGATGGTCTAGACGTGTGGTTTGAAATTCAGTGACACCAAGGTAGGTACGGTTTGGTTTGGCCTCAAAATTGACAGAGGGAGTCGGTAACTAGGAAACAGAATTTGTGGTGGTGTACAACCAATGCCTTTGTTCCTCGGAGTATTTAAATTGGAAGAAATTTTGTTCTGTTCTGGTTTATGACGTGAGCATTACAGTTTTAAATTTGTTGGAGAAGATGTTTCTTGGCAGATGGTTTTAGTGATGCTCGCAAACTCACTCATCATCCCAGTCAGCTTTCCCAGTCCCTCTTTTTTTCTTAATTTACTCATGGGATATCGGCATCGTTGCGCTGCCCAGTCTTTAATGCCCATCCCTAGTTGCCCTTGAGAAACTATTCTGATTTCTCTTTTAGCCCATATACTGCAGATATAATTTTATAGGCTTACTAAATCTTATTCAAATCAGATAAAAGCAAAATACTACAGAAGCTGGAATCTGAAGTAGAAACAGAAAATGCTGGAGAATCAATGGAGAGAAACAGTTAATGTTTCGAGTCCACGATGACTTCTTCAGAACTTACCTAAATGAGTTGAAGTAATTGACAATTTATAAGTTGAACATTTCCCATACAGTTAACTCAGTAAACTACACTATTTTCATACTAGGTTTTTCAGAGGCCAAGTACTGTATGTGAAGAAGCCAGATTCCAGTTCAGGTGTTTCTGTATTACATCAAAGAGCTCTTGTGATCAGCAGTTCAGAACTGGACTTTCTCGTGGGTAACCAATCTTTTTCCTTTCTCAGAAATGGAAAATTTCATCCAAGTAAGGTGTTCCATTTAGCTACCACTGATTTATAATGACGACAGTATTGCAATTATTTGCTTAGGTAATTAAGTTCTAGTCTGATAGAACTGGTTCTCAACTTCCATCATCCAAGTATCTGTCACTGACCTTTATTTGGAATGCTAATTTATTTTCTGTAATTAGGTCGTATTGTTTAATCATATATAACTAAACTGTGCTTGTGGAACATTATTTTTGATAGGGCAAAATAATTTATAGCTCCTACTGCTTTCATTTTTAACTTTGGTTCATTGGAACAGGAGTAGGCTATTTGGCCCTTCGAGCCTGGTTCACTTTTCAATGTGATTATGGCTGATCATCCAACTCTATATGCCGTTCTTGCTTTCTCCCTTACCCCTTGATCCCATTACCTTTAAGACCTATATCTAACATTCAATTCCACAGGCTCATCACTCTGAGCGGAGGTATTTCTCCTAATCTCAGTCTTAAATGGCTTACCATGCATCCTTCAACTTGTTACTCCTGGTTCTGGACTCCCTGATCATTGGGATCAACCCTCCGCACCCCCAGCCTCATCCCATGTCCAAGCCTCCCTCTCATCCACACCTCCTTGACCTGACACGACCTGTCCATCTTCTCTCCCAACTATCCGCCCCACCCATCCCACTGACCAATCCCCACCATTCCCTATCTGCACTCACCTATCACCATCCCACCTACCTTCCCCAGGCCGCCCCCCCCCCCCCACTCTTTATTTCCCAGCTCCCTTCTCCCTCTCCATTTCTGAAGAAGGCTGCCGATCCAAAACGTCAACTTTCCTCCTGACGTTACCTGGTACCTGGCCTGCTGTGTTGCCTCCTTTGGTTATGCTGTCTAGTCCTGTTAGAATTTTATAGGTTTCTATGAAGTCTCTCCCAATTCTTCTAAAGTGTGGAGATCACAGTCCCAACAACCCAGGAATTAGTCTAGTGAACCTCTACTGCACTCCCTCCATGGAATGTATATCCTTCTTTTAGGTAAAGGACCAGAATGGCGCACAGAGCCAGGTGCATTCTCACCAAGCCAGTAGTTCTTCATATGCCAGTCCAGTCATTCCCCAGGAATCACTCTGATAAACCTTTGTTGCATTCCTTCTATAGCCTGAACACCCTTCCTTAGATAAGGAGACCAAAACTGCACATGGTACTCCAGCTGTGGTCTCACCACGGTTCTGTGCAATTGTAGCACAGTTCAAGTTCAAAGTACCTTACGTTGTGATAGTTTCTCCACCATAATATTCCATAACTTAGCCTTGTGGTTAGTTGATACAAGGTATGTGACTGTTGGGCTGTTTTAACCATTACAATTGTTTATGATTAATTTCTCTCAAATATAACCGTTTATGCCATAAAGTCTTGCCACTAGCACACTGGTTGTGACATTGTGAGGATGGGTGAGTTTGAATATTGATCAAGGCTAATTAAGGTTTTTGCACTAGATATTTGTGCAATGTTTATCATCTTGAATTGTAAATGTTACGCTATTATTAACATAAAAATTGTTAGATCTAAATGTTTTGTATTGCAGCCATATTTCAACATACAATGCACTGAAATGAAAATACACACTTATTTTATCAAGTTTGTTTTACCATCTCTATCTTTTTTCCTTAGAAAATTGAAAATGGAAGATTTGCCAAATACAAGTACTTTGGACATAAAATGATTAATGATTCAGACTTATTTATGATTACAAAAAGGTAAGATTGTAAACTTTACATGAGTTTAGAAAATGTTTTGAAAATGCTCACACATTGTCCTGCTCTTGGTAATCAAATTTCAATTGCATTTGCAAAATTCCCAACCTATCGTGTGAAGTTGATACATTTATAAGCTTTCATTTGGGATCAATGTCAATTGCCAGTCACACAAGCAGACTTATTTGCAACAACTGTGTCTTTATCTACCCAAATCTAAGAAAATGCTACAAAATTGAATGATTGAACAGGGAACACTTGTTTTTATGCCATTTGGCTGGAATATGTCATCTATCACAATATTGTAGGATGCACTGGTAGTAATCTTCTGGGAACCCTTAGATTCTGGAAAGTCCCAATGTAATACCTTTATTTACAAAGGGAAGGAGACAAAAAACAAAGGTAGTCATAGGCCAGTTAGCTTAATGTCTGTTCTTGCGAAAATGGTAGACTATGTTTTAAAAGATGTAATAGCAGAGCATCTAAAAATGCATAATGTGATCAAGTAGAGTCAACATTGCTTTACGAAGGGGAATCATGCCCTGACAAATCCATGAGAATTTGAGGAGGTAACAAGCAGGAGAAGTAATATATGGATTTTCCTAAGACCTTTGATAAGCTACCACGTTTTAGGCTACTTAGTAAGAGCCTGCGGTGTTGGAGGTAGTATATTAGCATGGATAGAGGATTGCTAACTCATAGATGGAGAGTTGAGAAAAGGCGAGCATTTTCAGGCTGGCAATCTAATTAGTGGTGTGTCTGCAAATATTTACAATGTGTATGTTAATAACTTAAATGAGGAAAGTGAGTGTACTGTTACCCAGTTTTCAGATGACACACAAATAGGATGGAAGGCAAGTGATGAGATGACCGTGTCTGCAGAGGGATATAGACAAGCTAAGCAAGTGGGCAAAAACGTAATAGATGGAATATCATGTGGGGAAATGTAAGGTTACGCACTTTGGCGTATGTACAGAGGAGTCGAATATTACTTAAATGGAAAAAAATTGCAAAAAGTTACAGAACAGAGGGATTTGGGGGTCCTCATTCATGAATCATGAAATGCTAGCATCCAAGTTCAGCAGATAGAGGGGGCAAATGTAGTGTTGGCCTTTATTTCAAAGGGATGGAGCATAAACGTAGCGAGGTTTTGCTTAAACTATGCAAGGCACTAATCAGATCACAACTCAAAATCTGTGAACAATTTTCAGCCCTTTATCTAAGAAAAGATATACTAATATTGGTGGCAGTAAAGCAGGTATGGAGAGACAGTCATGAGGTTGAGTAAATTGGGCCAATACTTGTTGGAATATAGAAGACCTTATTGAAACAAGATCCTATGGGACTTGACAGGACTGACACAAAGGTTGTTTCCCCGGGCTACTTTCTGCTCATATGTCTTATGGAGATGCTGTCTACCCAGTCTGGTGGATATATTTTGAAGAAGAGCGGAACAAGAAGGGAAGGCGATGGCCGAGTGGTATTATCGCTGGTCTGTTAATCCAGTGACCCAGATTCGGATCCCGCCATAGCAGATGGTGGAATTTGAATTCAGTTAAATATCTGGAATTAAGACTCTAACAATGACCGTGAATCCATTGTCAATTTTTGGGAAAAACTCATCTGGCTCACTAATGTCTTTTGTGGAAAGAAACTGCCATCCTTACCTGGTCTGGCCTACATGTGACTCCAGCCCCACAGCAATGAGGTTGACTCTTAACTGCCCTCTGGGTAATTAGGGATGGGCAATAAATGCTGCCTAGCCAGTGACTGCGTCATCCCGTAAATGAGTAAAGAAAAAAGAATTATTATTCATAGTGTCCTGACCAATTTTGTCCCTCAAAACATCATCACAATAAAAAGATTTGCTGGTCATTATTCATAAGAATGGTTGGATGTGAAGATCAAATGTCATAGTTCCAAGTATGCAGATGATACAGAATAAGTGTGGATGATGTAAAGAGGTTTTGAGAGATCCATTCAACTTCTAATGATTTTAAGTAGTACTCCTAGTTAAGTTTGAACTCTTAATTTGATGAAAGTTATCCCACATAATTTCATGTTGTAAACAAAAATTTCTTTTGTATAAGAATTAAACAAAGCAAGTACCCCTAATTTAACATGTTTAATGGATCTTGAGGTGTCTTTCATTTCTGGGACCAAACTAAATACACCACAAATGCTTGAATTCACTGATTCCTCGGGATCCTTCCACTAACATTCAGCCAGGTGACCCTCTCTTTAAACACTTCAAGTATGGGCTTTACGATCTGCCTGTTCAGTCACTGCAAAATCAATCAAAAACACCCTTCATAGATACAGGTTCAACTCATCATCCACAATTCCCTAATTTATCCTTTGGTCTGAACAGTATGTGGATATGTTAAGAGCTTCCCTGATTTCCCAGTCATGTTTCAACCCTCCTTTTTATATAGCATGTTACTTGCGAGGGGAATTGAATGCATTTTACTCATTTACAGTCTTGATATTTTCTAATCAACCTATTCAGAGATGTTATTGCACACCACTGGAGCATGTGGGACTTGAACCAACATCTGCTAGGTGAGAGGTACAGACATTACCTTTGCACCACAACAGCCTTCGCTTTGATTCCCAGAAATGCTCATACACCCACTTGTTTGTTTCCCCCACCACGTGTGTTTCCAATTAATAACCAATTTACCTGAAAAGTCCACAGGAGCAGCCAACTTACTGTACACTTTTTTTTTCTAACATCTGGAAGTGCTATCTCACACAACTGAATGACTTTGTTTCCTACCATATCACCCATGGCATTTTTTTATACATTATTGAACACCACTAAATCATCTATGTTTCCAATTAATCAAATTTCATGAAATACTCAGCAAGGGTGCTGTAGACCAAAGACGAGAGACAGTTAGTGTGAGAGGGATGGAGTGAAAAGGGAAGATAAGGCACTCCACCTCCTGCAGTATTCACCTTTTTCAAAGCATCAAGAATATGCGTGGACATTGCCTACTCCTTGTCCAAGGACACCTGAACACAAACAGTGCTGCAGAAGAGAAGTAGCTGATTTTGCTGTCTTTCCCTTGTTTTTGTTTCCAGGAGTAGGGACACTATCACTGTGCCATAAGAGGGTCCTCCAATTTGCTATCTTCTTGATGCCCAGCTAATTGTGTCCAACTGCCATTTAAAACTCCTGCCCTTCTAACATTTAAGTATGCATGGTCCATCCTTTTGAACAGTAATTACTTGGTTTGTTTAACAACCTGTCATGCTCAGATATTCTCTCTTCCCCCACCACCACCACCTTAATACTTAAATAACAAACCTAGAAGTTATATTCCTAAACTACTTAATCCTTGCAATTAAACATTTTCATACCTAAATGCAAGTCTCGGCAGGATTGTTTGATGAGTGGCAATCTATCTGATTATCATTACACTTTCTGCTTACATAAGTGAGTTCCACAATTCTGACACGAGATTCTGATTAAGGCTTCTTCAGACAAGCAGAGCCATACTTTCACTTTGCTCAGGTTCTTTATAATGCAGTATGTTTGGGGCAAGGAAAACCACATCCCCATTTCACAACAGTCATTTGCAGGATTCTGTGATTTAAAGCTCCAGCATCAGACAGCCACTGTTCACTTCAGGCACAATTTGAGAACTTCGAGAGAAATAGTTCAAGTCCCTTTTTCTTCAGGATATATTCAGAAATGTTTGGGGCTAATTCTTCACAATATTTGAGCAGCTCATTAAAACAAACATCACTGATTCTGTATTTCAAGGTTTTTAGTGTTTAGAGACACAGAAAGCAAGGAGATAAAGTTTGTAGTTACCTGTCTTCTTACCTGTTTAAAGCTCAAGGAAGCAGTGCTACAGAAAGCTTATACTTTCACCTGCAATTATGAGCATTGGACTGCATATGGTATACTCCAGCAGCATTAGAGAAGGGTTCTTTGTTCAATCATTTAAACTTTGCCTCCAACACGATAATGTTGCACAGGAGAAATGGTCATTGGCTTCAGATAAAAGAATAAAAACTGTAATTGCGATGTTGGCAAATCTAATAGAGGAGTAAGTACAGTAATTAAAGGGCAAATTTTAATCTTGGAAATGGTATTACAGCTCGTACTGCTTTTCCGATGAAGGTGTCCTTCACAGAATGCTGTGTACCACCTGAGAGGTACTTCCTGCAATTAATCTGGGTGTTCTAAGCAAGTCAGTCAAGCTGCCTATTTTTGTCCTCCAAGTCCTGTTTTACACTGCCACCTAATTCAGCAGAATTTATTCTGCTCTAAAGGGGAGCCCTAACATAAGCTGACCTGTACGTTCATTGATACATTGCACTACGCAGACCTATGAAAATTATACTTAAACTGACTGTATGGGATTTAGATTAATGTCTTTAAGATGAAATGAAATAACCTTTGGAATAAATATTTACGGTAACCATTTGTTAATCTTACTGCACTAAATATCATTTTCCAGTGGTATCTTATTTGTAACACAAGGAACATTTGGGCAGTTGAACTGTGAATGGCAGTATAGCTTCGAGGAATTCACTAAAGAACCTTTTATTGTTGCTGGAAGGAGGTTACGTATTGAAGCCAAAGTAAGTAAACATTTAGAAGCTGGTCTTTGCATATATTGACCTGAAAAAGATGCTTTGTTTTAAAATGTACCTATTATGAGTAAACTTCATCAAAATATTCAACTTTATATTTATTAATATGACATCAGAAGCTTAACATGTAGTTGTGGACAGATTCATAATTGAACATGACTGAACAATTCGAATTATCGCCTTGTTCAAGAGCAACTTATATACAGGAGTGACAATGGCCTAGGGGTATTGATAGTCATGTTTGAATCCTGCCAAAGCAGATGGCGGAATTTGGAATGAAGACTCTAATGATAACTCTCATCAAAAAAACCCCCATCTACTTAACGAATATCCTTTAGAGAAGAGAACTGCCATTCTTACTGGGTGTGGCCTACATGTGACTCCAGACCCACAGTGATGTGATTGCATCTTAACTGGCTTCTGGACATTAAGCACCAGCCCAGCCTATGACACCCACATCTCATAAATGATTTAAAAACAAATCAGAATCGTTGCAATACCCTAGAAGCACAGTTATCTTTACTGCTATAAAATCTTTGCCTCATATCAGATGAAAATTGCAAATCACCATACTTCTGTATCAATAAAGCTGTTCATGCTTGACTATCTTCATCCAAAAAAAAAACCCTTACTCTTCCACCATGGACATTTCTCTTGATACAATTCTAATCTTCTTCGAAGATAGATCTTCACAGATGTCTATTGTATCTTTCTCGCTTTCATATTGATGCACACAATTCCTTCTTAGTATTTCTGGAAATGGCTGCACAACTGAGCTATTCAGAATATCTTCCATATGTCCACATCTCAGAGGATGTCCAAGAATTGTGGAGTTAAATATTTCTGGCTACAACTCGCTAAGTCAGTCATCACCAAATCTAGCACAGACACATCAATTGGGCCCTGATTCCAGATCCATTGCAATGCTTTCCTGGTTGATATCCTATCTTCTAACTTTCATGAATTAAAACGCATCCAAACCTTAGCTGAATGCGACTGGTAAGAACTATGATCCGTGTATTCACTGGTGTGGCAGAACCTCAATTTAAAATTCTTATCATCATTTTCACATCTCTTCACGTCTCATCCCTGTAACCTTCTCCCACTCAACAACCTTCTGATAAGCTGAAGAAGGGTCCCGACCCAAAACGTCAGCTTTCCTGCTCCTCTGATGCTGCCAGGCCTGCTGTGTTCATCCAGCTCCTCACTGTGTTATCTCTGACTCAGCATCAGCAGTTCTTACTATCTCCTTCTGATAACCTCAGACTTCTAAGCACTAGCTCTATACACACCTCTCTCTGTCAGATTGCAAAAACTCCTTTGGGCAATGTTAATTTTGTTTGATTACATTCCTAAGTAGTATTTAAGGTTTTTAAAATCCCTATATAAATACAACTTGTTGTAAAGTGAAAGACTAATATTTTAGCCATGGTTGGTTAAAAGCTCGTGCTGACTATGTTATGATCACGGCAGATGGCAATGTTACGTACCACTTTGATTCCAAAGTGAACCCTGGCTTCAAGAACCAGAAGTTTGATTTTTTGTTAACTGTGTACCTTGGTGGTCATTGAACATAGTTGCAAGAAGCTGCCAATGCTCTTTTAACAAAAGGAACAAAGTTATATAATTCTTATATAATGTAGAAGTTATTTTCTTAGGTAATAAACTTAGTTTATTATAAATATTAAGCTCAACCTCTTTATCCTCAGTGAAGGGTCACCCTGTCTCCACTTTAAAGTTCCTTGATCACTTGGCATGGCAGTCATTGGTTTCTGGAATTTTCTTCTCCCTGGTTTGGAAACACTTTCAGAACAGACACGTAGGTTTTCCATACCCTCACCTCCAGCATTTTTCTGCTTTGAGTTTTCTTTTAAGCCCCTCAGGACTTCCTCCCCGGCCCTGACATTTTAGAAACAGCTAAGCAACTGCACCTTTTAATTCTGACTAAACCTGCGCGCACTGCTTGAACTTCTGGACAGTTCTTCCCTTTTTCCAAGGTATTGGACACCTGTTGTTAGGCAACAGCAGGTTTGATTTCTTCTACACGTGTTTTTAATGTGTGCACTGTTTATTTCAAATTCTACTCCAAATCTGCAAACCTAATTAAAAATACATGTATCAACAAACTTCAGACACCTCCACCAGTCTCAAGAAAACCTAACATAAAATTATATCTCCTCTTAACACACAATACAGAAATACAGTTTAATGCTGAACATGGTTCTCTTTCTTTAGAATCCAAGGTTCAAAACAGCAATGCATCATGAACTTTCATCATGTAATTTATCTATCTTCAACTAACATTCCCTGTTTTCTTAAAGGAACGTGTGAAATCTGTATTCCATGCAAAAGAATATGGAAAAATTGTGAATTTCAAAACTGAAGATGATGCACAGGTATTGAATTTTCTCTTTAATATGGCTGTACACCATTTTGATAAGCTAAAATTCAAGATAAGCTTATTAGCCATTTTCTCCGATGGTTTATTTGTAATTTACTAGCCTCCTCTCTGGCTCAGTATACCTTGACTTAACTGTTAATAATTCAAAGTTGAAAATGAAAAGAGACAGGTTAAATGAGTGACAGAAATTTTGCAGATGGAAATATTGGGCACTTTGGAAGAAAGAGGAACTGAATGTTATTTAAATGGAGAAAGCCTGCAGAAGATAGCGGTACAGAGGGATTTGGTAGTTCTTGTGCATAATCCAAATATAGCAAGATCAGGATAATATCCAGGTTTGGGCTGACAAGTGGCAATTTATCTTCATGCTACAGAAGTGCCAGACAATTACTATCTCTAACAAGTCTGAAGAAACTGTTATCCCCTGGCATTACTATCAGAAACTAAATTGAATCAGACACAAGAGCAGGTTAGAGACCAAGAATTTTGTAGCAAGCAACTCACCTTGTCTCCAAAGTCTGTCCACTATCTATAAAGGTAAGAGTCAGGAGTGTGATGAAATATTCCTCACTTGCCCGATGACTGCAGCTCCGACAACACACAAGCTTCTTGACACCATCCAAGTCAAAGCAGCCAACTGGATGGGAACCTCAACCACTCCCTTCAACATTCACCCCCTCCACCGCTAACGTACAGTAGTAGCAATGTACACCAAATGCAAGATGTACTGCAGCAACTCAGCAAAGCTCCGTAGACACTGTCTTTCAACCTATGGCCTCAACCATAGAGAAGGACAAGGAGTGGATACATAAGACCACATTCTGCAACTTCCCCTTAAACCACACACTATCCTGATTTGGAACTATATTCCTATTTTTTTCACTGCTGCCTGATCAACATCCTGACAGTACTATATATGTGTATCTACATCACATGAACTGCAGCATTCAAGGGCAATTAGGGTTGGACCAATGCTACCCATCTGTTTGAATGTATTTTTAAAAGCCCTTATTTATACAAGGTAAAATCAAGACAGTGGCAAAACACAATTGCATTTATATTTAATGCAAGGTGAGGTCATTATGTTGCATGAATGGTATTTTCCACTTGTCAGCTCAAGACTCAATATTGTTTAAATCTTGCTATGTTTACATATATAGATTGCTCCAGAGGAATTATAATCATGGTATCAAGGATGAAATATTTCCGTAGTATCACAAAATTGAAGAAGCTACATTGATTTTGATTGGAGCATGGACAGTTGAAGTGAAATTTAATGAAGCTGTTTATAATTACAAAGGGTATTATTTGAGGATACATTGACTGCAGTGACAACAGGATGAGTATTTTGAAGACATGGATTTAATTAGTTTAGAAAGAGGCTATGTTTAAAAAAATTCTGGTAGGTTGAGATGATCTGGAATGTACAGCCTGAAAGGATAGTGATAGCAAATTCAATATTGCCTTAAAAAGGCATTGATAAGTACTTGCCTTTGGCTGGATAGCTTTTTTTCCAAAAAGCTTTAATGGCACAATTTGCAGAATGGATTTCTTCTCTATATGCAAGTCTGATTTATGTTCTGCCTAAACAGGTGATGTTATGCATCTTGGTTACGCAAATAGCTGAAATTGCGTTGTTGTGGGTAATAGCGTGTGTTCATGCTATGCTGGAGCTGTAACTCACTGTAATGGACTACTTAAATGCTCATGTAACTACAATTTATGACTTATTAAAATGCTGGAATGTATTCCATTAAATTGTGTATCATACAAGAACTTTGAAAGGTACTACATAAAGAGTGTGGCCTAGGGCATTTCACATTAGGAAACATTTGATCAAGCTCCAAGAGGTAGGTATTTAGGGAATCTACAACAGGATCGGAAAAGTGGTTTTATGGCTGTTGTCAGATCAATTGAAGTCTTATTGAAAGGCACAGCAGGCCAGAAAGAACATAGGAAGAAGAGTAGGCCATTCAGCGAGATCATGACTGATCTGTGGTCCATATCCCTTAATACATTTTGCTTAACAAAGCCATTTGTGGAAGTGCATTCTAAACATCTTCCACCCTTCTGTATAAGAATGCTTCCCAACATCTCTCCTGAATGGTCCAGTCCTAATTCTCAGAGTAGAGGGCATAGTTTCAGACTCCTAAACGGTGCTAAGAGCTTAGCTTTATCTGCCATCTTTTCCTGTAAATATCTTGAAGATTAAACAGGCCTAATTTGTGTAATCTCTCCTCAAACTTAACCCCTAAAGTCCAGGTATCATTCTTGTAAATTTACATTGTACTCAGAAGGAAATGCCAACGGTTAGGGCCTTAGCTACTATAAACATGACAATCAATCCAGAATGTGCACGGCTGAGTTGAGATTAGAGGTAGAGAGTTAATGCTTAAATAGTATTATAAGATTTTTTAAAAATTGATATTTTGCTAAGTGTAAATATCTCAACACTTTTGTTCCCAGTGGATTCTGGCAAAACTGCATGAAGTGCGCGAAAGAAGAGTACCTGATCATCATCCAAAGATATGAATGCTACAGGAAGTATTAGGAATTTCATAATCACGAAAAGTAGCTCATTTTCAACTATTATTAAAAGGAGTTAAATTCACATGAACCGTATGCCGTACACAATTAAGTTTAAATATTTTATTCAGTTAATTCTTAAGAAATTTGAAATTCTTTCAAAACCATACAATTATTGTATCTGATTTCGATCTAATTTGGTGGTTCCGTCCTGAATTTTCAGGTGTTGGAATGTAGCATAGAATGGAAATCTCACTTTTTTAATAGGCTTAAGTGTTTAATTAATTCACACGGCTCAATGGTTTTTCCGAAGGAAAGCACCACACTACCAAGTGCCACAAAATACCTTCAATAACACAGATGTGCCAATGACTTTCTTCGCTGCAGTGCTTTGTGACTTACTTTTGTGTCACTGGTCAATTTGAAATATCCAGATGTTTGACACATTTAAAAACTCAAAACCAATTTGAAAATAATTCACAAAATAATGCATTAGTGTATTTGAATACAAGATTACACCACCTGGAGTTCGTTATTTGTTTACTATACTAGAAATAATTAGTGTTAGCTGGACTGTTAATCAATTGTCCAAGATCCTCCAATTATATTCCATTATAAATTCAGAAGATTCATATTCTTGTAAATACTTAATCATGCTCATCAGCAAATCATATTGTTACTTGTGTATTCGGACCATTAAGAGGATATATGCTGGAGTATTAATATTCAAATGACTTCCATGCAAACTTAATGCACTGAAATTTAAACAATTATGGAGTCTCCACAGATCCAGGCAAATATTTGTTCTCTGCTTAATACAAGGTTCAACTTTTATGGGTTTTTTCATGACAAATTTGAAAACCAGACTTAATTTTCAAATTTTTAGTATAACAAAACTACTAGATATTTCAAACTTCATGCTCCAAATCATACGTATTTTCTACTTTGTTCAATACCATTATAGTTCCTGAAATACATATGTTGCTGAATCTATCATCATGTTTTACACATACCATTCAATACAATGAGTGTTAATGTAATCAGCCCATAAAATAACAATGAATAGTTTCTAATCACCATAATGAATCTTCTGTTTGTAATTGATCATGCTCATGGCTAACTGTGTTTTTAAGTTCCTGCCTTTGATAATATAATGTTAATATGCAATTTTCTACAAACTTCAATTATGTAGATGCACTGTATAATCTGAAAGGTTTACCATGTTTGCAGAGAATTTATATTATGCATTTTAATGTTATGTATAATATGCAGCAACTATGCCAATTTACCTCCAAAAGAAATGTTGACCTTGAAAATGATAGCATTTGGGAAGGGATGGGGGAGTCATGAAAGTATATTTTATAGTCTGTACCAAATTTTAAAGATCACTGTTTATCCAAATTCATGGTATAATGTTGACACTTTTTTTTTCTTAAAAATCTTTAAGTACTAAAAAGTAAAAGCATAATACCATTTACAATTGCAGTCTGCCCCTCAAACTTCACCTGGTTACAGTTCTCCTAAAAAAAAAAGTGGAGTTTGACTACTATAACACTTGCATAAGCTTGCTGATAGTGCCCCAAGGAAAAGATCTTGTCTGTATTTTGAAACAAAATTTTAAAATATACTTGGTACCAGAAATAAATGCATCATCTTTTATTTGACAATATGGGGACTGAATTGTCCGAGGTTCAATAAATCCATTTACATTAATAGCAGCTCAAATGTAAATGCAAAATTTAAGATCTAGTCCATAAAACTGAAATTAGCTATTTCTAAGTGTAATGAGAAATGGATATGATACCTGAATATAATCTCTTGAAAATCAACAGTCCTGCTTAGGGGTTTAGATTATGGCTTTGGATTGGTCACTAATGATGGAACAGTAGTAACATCTAAATTAGAAAAGCTATTTATCTAATACTGCCAAAGTTCTATGAGGAAGGCTGGAGTTTACAGTTTTTGACACTACCCTTGACCACAAAATTCAGGTCTAGATGGCAATGTTAACCACAAAGTTGTCCATAAAGATTTAATGGGCTCTGGTACTTGGATTTTCCTCAATTCTGATATCTCTTCAGATTTGGTGTCACTTCTAAGGATTATAGGGTACAGCTACAGCAGAACTGACACATTCTCAAATAGGAAAATATACGTTTAAAAGCATGAAACATAATTAAGATGTACTAAGGACAAAATAACATCTAAATATTTTTGAAAAGTCATTCACTTTTACATGTTTGGGACAGTCAGATTCTAAAATTTTAATTCGTTTTCAGCACCAGTAAACAGTACAAACTCAAGTGACTTAAAATGTTGTTATTATTACTCAAAAAAAAGTGTAAAGAGTTGAAGTTCAGTGATAATCTGCTGATTAAAAAGTGGAATAGTGCATCATGATCACTATGTTTAACTGTGCATGTTGAAAATGGCAGAGTTTGCTATCAGTTTTGCAGTGAAAATGATAAATAGCAGCAGTTTCACTATTATTACAAGCACACATTCCAAACCAATGATCTTAATACTTTGGGTACACTGACTGGAGAATTGACATTTCCTGATGTGGTTGCATGTGCATGCAACCAACTGTTCATCAATTATGAAAATCTTTAGAAAAATAAGCGACAGTAAAATATGCATTTCACGTATTTTTGAAGATACTAGATGATGGAAGAATAATTTAATTGTTTCTTCTCCTTGGGATGTTATTTAAACTGTCTGGATTCTCTGTCCCTCATGCTCATTAAAAAACAACAAATCTCATGTTTGTTTCTCACAAATTAAATACTTGCTAGTTTAACGTATTGCATATCACAATTGATAATATGCAAGTAATGGTCTTGTAACTATAATACAGTCAGTCAGTCATTCACATACTCTCTTGCAGCACACCTATTGTGTGTTGTCTTAAACTAACCTCTTCTTTTGGACCATTTGTGGGAGCCTGCCTTTGATTCATTCAACCATGATCAAAAATAAATCATTTGAAGCTACCCATATCTTACACAATGAAAGCATACTTACAATGGATTTATTTTAATAGACAATTAAAACAGCTACAGATCTGCATTAGGTCAAGGGTAAAATTACAATTGAAAACACAAAATTCATACTCATCTGAAATAAACAATACACAAGTCTTTTGTTAGATAATTAGTTAGAGCTGATGGAGAAGGTTTTCAATATCTGAATTCCCTTCAGTTGCTGCTGAATTTTTATTTTTTTTGACATGGATTTATCTTAAGTCAACATTCAATAAAATAACTACTTGAAAAGATATATTCAAGTGAAAAACTCCCTCAAAAAAAAACTCTAGCCTATTTGATACAAAACTTTAATAGGTATCTATTTGCCAATGTCTGCTTCTTTGGAATTCTGTAACCGGGTAAAGGAACAGGTACCTCAGTATTATGTTTGTGCTGAAGCATTAATGCCAATGTTCCTGCTTCTCAGCCTTGTATTTGAATAATTGGGTAAACCCAAATCATTTGCATCATAAAAATGTCTGTTATTGAAAACTGTAACAACACACGACCTAAAATGTACTTTTACAGAGACTAGCCTCAGACTGATCACTATTGTACTAAAATTTATCATGGGGATATATCATTTCTAACAATGTGAAAAATTGTGAATTAAGTAATGCTTTGTTATTTTTCCAAGTGCTGCTTTTGAGTTTTTTTTTTAAAACGCTTTGCACTGTACCATTGGTACAATGGTACGAATGATTTTTTTTTTTTTTTTAAAAATGTACAAATGCAAATTGTTGAATAAAAGTGTACTGCCCTGTAGTCTGCATTATTCATAGATATGGTACAAGAAAAACGAATGAATTTACTCCATGCAGTAAAGGGGGAAAAAATACATTCATGCAAAATAGGAATAGTATTGTAACTGAGTCAATGCCACTTACCCAAATAGTCTGAAGGACATGATCTTGTTACTATTGTCTTCATGCTGGAGAGAATTTTAAAAACACAAATTCTTTGGAAGTATTTTACATAATACATTATTCAATGTTTTTTTCTCTGCGGTTGCCGCTTTGTACCAAACTCAATAGAACATTTATTTTGGCTTAAGACTATGTAGAGGAAACCTGGAATTTTAATTTGTCCCATGACATGAATAATATGAATAACCAGGAACACAAGAGAATGTTCCAAAAGATTCACTATATTAAGTGTAATGCACTGAAGCTAGATAGTGATTTGATGCCATGAGGAACCTGCATTGTGAACATGGAATTAAGCCAAGATTGAAACAAGGGTATCATGGCATTTTAATTGTCTTACAGTAGAAATTTATTTTGGCCAAATTTGCTTTTTTACAAACAAAAAGTCCCAACAGCAGTAAAATCCACACACGGACCCACCAACCCACTTTATTAATTTCCATCACTTTAATATATAGCATTCATTCAGCATTCGCTTGGGTGCTACTGCCTCAGAAACCTATTCTGAAGCATATCAGGGATTTATGTAAGATTCCCATTATAAAAGATGGATTCCAGTTCACTATTGTATTTCCTTTGGTCCCAAAACTCAAAGCTTTGCATTGGACAAGATTCAATGTAACATTGTAGGAATATACTCATACATTTATGTTTGAAAGGAGCTATTTTCCCTAAAGTTGTTTATTCTGTGTGTGTGCACATTTATTAACTTTTCAATAGTACAATAGACTGCACTATTTAACAAAAAAGGAAATCCTTGCCTTCAGTGGTACTCACAAAGTACAAGTTGTAAATTACAGTGAGCTCATTTCATAGTAATCCAAATAATTAATAGAACAACTGCTGTCTTAAATGTAGACTTTACAGGTCGGGGTAAATCAGATAAACTGAAACATAAGAACCAAGTTTGTGTTTAATTTCAGTTTAAAACAGCAGCATTACCAAATACGAAACGTGTTTAATTTCAAAGTACAGATCAGTTAATTAATGACCAACAAAATACTTTACAAAACAAGAATAGAAAAATCCTAACAATCTTTGTGTCAGATTTTAACAGCTGCAATTTATTGAATCTAAAAGCCTACCCAAAGAGTGAAATATACATATTTAGCTAACTTGAAACAATAAAACAAAATACAAGTGTGATGTAGCTGAAACAAGGATACTAAAAGTGCATTTAAGATTTTATCCTTCTATCATCTATTTTAGCACCTTCTGAAAACATGGTATTTGGCAAGTTCTTTGTTTATGGCGACAGCATTCTGCTTGGCACCTATTGGTCAACTTCTTAACAATTGTAATATGTACAGATAGGTTTCAATCTATAGCTACTGAAATAACATTATTTATCCAAATTATGTAACTGATTCCCAGATTGCAAATTTGCAAATTCAGTTACTCAAGATTAGAAATTCCTACTTCAGACAAGTGGCTTTCTCCAAATGAAAGGACCTTTTGGCTATCATAGCATGCATAACATGTTGAATCAACACCAAACTGTCTGCTCAAATACACACTCCAGAATATGATTTAAATCAAATCCTAGTGAAGATGTGTTAATTCCTTTCACAAATTTAAAAGATGCTTAAAAGATGCGTAATTTATGAACACCAAGGTGGGGGGGGGGGGGGGGATGTACTGTATAATGAACCTTCACACAGATTAAGACTCCATAATAATGTGCAGAAACACATTTGTCCATATATTCATTTTTCACAAACAAAAACAGAAGTTACTGGAAAAGCTTAGCAGGTCTGACAGCATCTGTGAACAAAAAAATCAGAGTTCTCATTTTGGGTCCGGACCCGAACATTAACTCTGATCTTTTCTTCACAGATACTGCCAGACCTACTGAGCTTTACCAGCAACTTCTGTTTTTGTTCCTGATTTACAGCATCCACAGTTCTTTCAGTTTTTATTTCATTTTGTCAAACTCTGTTTGTCTATATCACCCAGGTCTATTAACATCTAAGCCAGTGTCTTCTATATTCAGTTTTATTTTGATTTCTTGCAAATTGAAGAATTCAAGTAAAAGTAAGAAAGCACAACCTTTACTGTTTTAAACTAAAAACTCAGATGATGTTGGCCTCCACAAAGGATTACGCAGCTTTAGTGCACCTTAGCAACCAATTCTCAGGGATGTAACATAATGAAATGCACTTATGATGAAAGAAGCTAACAGTGCAGACTGACTTCATTCAGATGCATCACTCCTGTCACATTCAGAAGGGATATGACAGCAAAAGCAAGCCTCCATATATATGATGTTCAAATTCAAGGCACAATACTTTAACATTCAAAAACCATGGCCTATTGCATAAAGTGTAAAAACTCAAAAAGGTAAGACATTGTTGGTCTTTAAAAATTATAATCTCTAACAGATCTGCTCATCATAAAATGTATCCGTGAAGAGTTTTTTTTTTAAATCAAAATGCAATATGGCAGAATTGTGCATTACACATTATATTTCAACTTCAGAACAAAAAGTGATTACTTACCTAACTCTCCAAAATGTGGAAACACCTTACAGTCTTTTACAATTACTGATACTACATTATTTCAACAAATAATATCCCTTTTTGACCAAGATAAATAATGTTGAAAGCTAGAAAAGATGCAATATATATAGAATATGTATTTACAATTGTCTGTAAGCATTTAAGCTTGATGTGCCTAGGAGTAATTTCTATTAGGATAATAATAGAACAAATAAAATCCTGTGAAGCAAATCCATCTATCCTTTGCAACTCTATGAAAGCACAAACATCAAAGCAGACTGGAAGTCTTCTACAATCTAAGCTTGTATGTGTATCATTGGTCACAAATGAAGTGAGCAAGTTGTGTTTTAATAGCTTGAATAAAAACATTTTACATTAGTCCACAAAAATCATTCTGGAATCTGTTGTGCTAATAAAACTTCAAAATTTCTTTCCTTTTTCTATTAAATTTTGCAGCTCATATTCAAAATTCTTAATGTGCTTATTCTACATTACTTTTAATGATAGCAATAATTAATGATATCAGTATTTTAAATGTTGAAGACATCTGTGATTTAATCTACACTATGATACTAAATGGATTGAATGGATAAAATCAGAATAAATGTCAAAGGAAGTCAAAGTACGTGTTGTGTACACCAATCATTTACTCAATTAAAATTCCTCTGTATGCCAAATGCCAACCCAGCCAGTAGTCATAATGGGAACCATAAAGTTCTTTTGTACCCTTTATTTTCGATAATGTTTTGCATTCAGTAAACCTCTGGATTCCAGGAATGCCATATATTTTTCACACAGTGAGATATGTAAAACTAGATCTGGGAGCATTTACTATTACAAAAGTTGTAAAACAGTCACCTTTGGAAAACATATTTAGGTCCATTTCAACATGAGCCATATCCCGGCAATTTTTTTTAATGTATAAAAACACCTCAGTTAATAAAGCTATAAACATCTGTGCAAATCCTTTTTCAGATATGTGCAGAATTCCGCAAGCAATTTTTTGCAAATAGAAAAACTGTGCATGAAAAATTCTGAACAGAACACAGAAGTGATGTATCTGCAGTGTCAACACCAAGTTCACCTTAGAACTGGATTCAAATTTGTAAATGTACAACTTTGAGCTGTCGAGTAAAAACAGCTTGACGAGAAGTATTGAGTGATGTGAAGTCGGGTCTGTCCTTTATACCAGGTTAAATTCCTTCAGGTTTAGCTGTAGGATAGTGTCCTTGACAGCAGCAAAGACAAACCGTATATTCTCGGTGTCTGTAGCACATGTGAAGTGAGAGTAGATGACCTTTTCTTTATCTGGATTCTGATTTTGATATGTCTTCAAGATGAAATCACAAGCAGCTATGGGATCTTGTTGAGGACCTAAGAAGCATCAGATTTACAACAGTCATGTATTATTAAAACATTATTAAAATCAAGCAATAGCACAGAAAGTCAGTTTCTCAAATAAAAATCAAAAGAAACAACATTCTACTACACAAGACAAATCATGCCTAACCAATTTAGAGCAAAATTAGCAAAACTAAGAATGCTGAATTGTTTTGAATTAAATATAGTAGAAAACCAAGTCAGAGCAGGTTGTAATCAAAATATATACCAAACATCACACATCAACTATACTTGTTCAGGTCTAATTAATCAAGGCACAATGTGGCTGGAGAAGTAGTCATGAGAAGCAAAGGAATGGCAGAGGCACTGAACAGGCATTTTGCGGTGGAAGACACCAGTAGCGTATCAGAACTTCAAGACGGTCGGGACTGAGGGGAGTGCCCTGGCATCACTAAAGAGAAGGTGCTGGGGAAGCTGGAAGTTCTGAAGGTGGATAAATCACCCAGACCGGATGGACTATACTCCAGGGTTCTGAGGAGATTGTGAAGACATTGGTGGTAATCCCTCAGGAATTACTGGAGTCAGGGAGGGTCCCAGATAACTGGAAAACAGCGAAAGTTTAAGGAGGGATGGGGGCACAAGATGGGAAATTACATGTTGTTTGCCCGACCTCTGTGTCGTAGTGGTAGTGTCACTACACTTAGACCAGGAAGCCCAGTTCAAGTCCTACTTGCTCCAGACTTGAGTAATAGCATCTCTGAAAAGCTTGCTTAGAAAAATAGGTTAAATAAAAAAAGAAAAGCCTGACCTCGGTCATTGGTAAGATTTTAGAGTCCATTATCAAGGATAAGATTGCAGAGTACTTGGAAGTACATGGTAAAACAGGGCTGAGTCAGCATGGCTTCATCAAGGGAAGGTCATGCCTGACAAATAAAAGAACAAAGAACAAAGAACAAAGAAAATTACAGCGCAGGAACAGGCCCTTGAGCCCCCCAAGCCTGCACAGACATGTTGCTCGTCACAACTAAAACGCCCTACTCTTCCGGGGACCATATCCCTCTATTCCCATCCTGTTCATATATTTGTCAAGATGCCCTTTAAAAGTCACTATAGTATCTGCTTCCACTACCTCCCCTGGCAGCGAGTTCCAGGCACCCACCACCCTGTGTAAAAAACTTGCCTCGTACATCACCTTTAAACATTGCCCCTCACACCTTAAACCCATGGCCCCTGGCAACTGACTCTTCCACCCTGGGAAAAAGCTTCTGACTGTCCAGTCTGTCCATGCCCTTCATAATCTTGGAGACCTCTATCAGGTTGCCCCTCAACCTCCATCATTCCAGTGAGAACAACCCAAGTTTCTCCAACCTCTCCTCATAGCTAATGCCCTCCATACCAGGCAACATCCTGGTAAATCTTTTCATGACCCTCTCCAAAGCCACCACATCTTTCTGATAGTATAGTGACTAGAATTGAACAAATGCGGCCTAACTAAGGTTCAATAAAGCTGCAACATTACCTGCCAACTTTTAAACTCAATGCCCCGGCCAATGAAGGCAAGCATGCCATATGCCTTTTTGATTACCTTCTCCACCTTTGTTGCCACTTTCAGTGACCTGTGTACCTGTACACCCGGATCTCTCTGCCTATCAGTACTGATAGGGTTCTGCCATTTACTGTATATTTTCCATCTGGATTAGACCTTCCAAAATGCATTACCTCATATTTTTCCAGATTAAACTCCATCTGCCATCTCACTGCCCAAGTCACCAACAGATCTATATCCAGCTGTATCCTTTGACTGCCCTCATCACTATCCACAATTCCACCAACCTTTGCATGATCGGCAAACTTATTCATCAGACCAGTTGCATTTTTCTCCAAATCATTTATATATATTACAAACAGCAAAGGTCCCAACACTGATCCCTGAGGAATGCCCCTAGTCACAGCCCTCCATTCAGGAACACACCGTTCCACTGCTACCCTCTGTCTCCTATGACCGAGCCAGTTATTTTATCCATCTCGCAAGCTCACCTCTGACCCCGTGCGACTTTACCTTCTGTATCAGCCTGCCATGAGGGACCCTGTCAAAGGCCTTACTGAAGTCCATGTAGACAACATCCACTGCCCTACCCTCATCGATCATTTTTGTCACTTCCTTAAAAAACTCAACCAAGTTAGTGTGACATGACCTCCCCTTCACAAAGCCATGTTGCAAAACCAAAACGCCTTCCCCATCCCAAAACCATGTTGCCTCTCGCTAGTATACCCACTTATTTCCAAGTGGGAATAAATCCTGTCTCGAAGAATCCTCTCCAATAATTTCCCTACCACTGACGTAAGGTTCACCAGCCTGTAATTAGTTGGATTATCCTTGCCACTCTTCTTAAACAAAGGAAAACATTGGCTATTCTCCAAACCTCTGGGACCTCCCCTGTAGCCAGTGAGGATGTAAAGTTTTCCCTCAAGTCCCCAGCAATTTCTTCCCTTGCCTCTTTCAGTATTCTGGGGTATATCACATCAGGCCCTGGGGACTTGTCTACCTTGATGTTTTTCCAAGACCCCCAATCCCTCCTCCCTTTTGATCTCAACATGACCCAAACTACCTACATACCCTTCCCCAGACTCATCATCCACCAAGTCCTTCGCTATGGTGAATACTGACGCAAAGTACTCATTTAATACCTCACTCATTTCCTCCAGCTCCACACAAATTCCCTTCCCTGTCCTTGAGTGGGCCAACCCTCTGCCTAGCTACCCTCTTGCTCTTTACACATATATAAAAAGCCTTGGGATTTTCCTTAATCTGCTAGAATTCTTTGAGAAGGTAACGAGCAAGTTACCCAAAGGAGAACCAGTTGATGTAATCTATATGGATTTCCATAAGATCTTTGATAAGATGCCATACAGAAGGCTGCTAAATAAGAGCTCATAGGGGCGAGGTACAGGCATGAATACAGCATTGACTGTTGACTGACGGAGAGAAGGCAGAACGTGAGGATAAAGGGGGTCTTTTGCAGGACGGCAGCCGGCAACTAACTGAATTCCACAGGGGTCCGTGTTAGGACCACAACTGTTCACGTTATATATTAATGGCCTAAAGAAAGGAACTGAAGGCATTGTAGCTAGGTTTGCAGATGACGAAAGATAAGTGGAGGGACAAGTAGTGCTGATGCGTCGGGGAAGCTATAGAAGGATTTGGACAGGCTATGAGAGTGGGAGGCTAAGAAGTGGTCGATGGAATACAATGTGAGAAGTGTGAGGCTATGCACATTGGTAAAAGGAGTAGAGGTATAGACAATTTTCTGTGTGAGGAAAGACTTCAGAAAGCTGAAACACAAAGGGACTTGGGAGTCCGAGTTCAGGATTCTCTAAGTTAACAGGCAGGTTCAGATAACAGTTAGGATGGCAAATGTATTAACACACTAGAATATACAAGATCAGGGATGTATAAGGCTCCAGTCAGATCACATTTGGAAAATTGTGAGCAATTTTGGGACCCATATCGAAAAAGAATGCGCTGGCCTTGGAGGAGGTTTACAAGAATGATGCCAGGCATAAAGGGCTTGTTGCATGAGGAATGGTTGACAACTCTGCATATGTACTTGATGGCTTTTAGAAGGATAAAGAGAGTTCTCATTGAAACTTTCAGAATCCTAAGTTGCCTGGATAGAGTGGACATGGAGAAGATGCTTCCACCAGTAGGGCAGGCTAAGACCCAGGGACACAGCCTCAGAATGAAGGCATAACCCTTTAATACTGAGATGAGGAATTTCATCAGCCAGAGGGTGCTGAATCCATGGAACTCATGACCTCCAAAACCTTTTGTGGTGAGATAATTGATTATTTTGAAGACAGAAAGATAGATTCTTGATTAGTAAGGGGGAATCAAAGGTTACAGAGAGAAAGCAGGAGAATGGGATTGAAAAACATATCAGCCACGATCAAATGGCAGAGCAGACTGGATAGACTGAATAGCCTAATTCTGCTCCCATATCTTGTGTCCACAAGATTGGAAACAGTGAACTAAGAATAATTAAACTGGGAGAGCACAGCAAGGAGACATTGGTATAAAGTAACAAAAGACAAACTTAGGACAAATTTAGATTGTTCAATATGACCAACAGATTGACTGAACTTTCAAATTTGGGAGGTTTGGAGGTGGTCCTAGATTCATGGTCTTGTTTATCCTTCAAGATGAAGATGAGTATGTCTGCATGAAGTATTTGGTAGGGTTCCTTTGAGTACATAGGTGCCTGCCAAGGTCAATCAGCAGCCAGAAATTTTTGTCGCAAGGACGAAAGGATACCACAGATGATTTTTTTGGATGAGTTGTTCACTGAAGATTTCCTGTCCTAACGTTTGATCCCCAGTTCTGACAAACATTTGCTTTTAAATGAGGTGACATTATTTGTATTTGGCTGTGTCAGGTGCAGTGATCCTGGACGAGCTTCTTCTGGCCATATCAAAACTCCTAAATGAAGCCTTCAAAGGGTCCTTATAACAATTTCATTGGCCACCATAAAATTGAGTCTCAGACTTAAGATCTCCATTGAAAGTTTGCTTTGGAGATCGACTGTCAGGCATTCTGGCTACATGGCTAACTGAAACTCAGCTGTGATTGTCTCATTATGTTTCACCAGTTTGGGTGAACACTTCAGTGTCTGGTATTTCATTTTGCCATTTCAGACAGCTCAAGTGAAAGTGATTAAATCGACTATCAACGGCCATGATCCAGTCAACAGACTTGGCATAGGATCCCTGATCTGTTCCTGCATTTCTTCTGTAGCTGTATGTCTGTGAATACCATATCAGTTATCCATTTACCAGTTCGGAAATCACACTAACTCTGGCAGCAGATCCTGGTCATGACGCATGTGAAACAGTTGAGAATAATTCTGATGGAGATTTTGCTGATGAAGAGGGGCAAGATTCCTCCATGTTTGACACAAAATTGGTGACTTCCTTTTTTCCATATAGAGATAGGCAATGTAATTTTGTATTCTGTATTCTTGTGGGACATTGCTTGATCCCACAAGAGATTGAAAGAGTCCAGCCTTATGCACATCAGCTGCAATAACATCAGCTATGAAACTTTGCTGCTAAACAGAAATTTGAATATAATCAGCACTTCTACCAGTGCAGAAAGGTTATCAAGACAATATTTATTGGCAAACTTTGGTGGTGTGTTGTTTGCTTCTTCATTGACAGATGAGGGCTGATTGGATTTGAACTTTGTGAGCAGTGTTGACCTGTGGTATGAAGGGCAAACCTGCAGACAGGGGCCCAGTGACAGATTTCAGAGCATCGCAGAATCTCCTTTAGTTTTTATGGTTCTCATAGGACTGAAATTAGTCTGCTTTCTGATTCTGCCAAATGTTGTGCATCACTCTAAACAGTACTATGGATGTTTTGCTCGGCATTGTGCCTCAATAGTGGCGACTAGTTATTAAGCAAGCCCTGAAGAGGCAAGGATTTCCTCCGAAGGTTCCTGAATCAAATCTGTTTTCATTTGACCAGTTTTTTTTTTCTTACTTATGAGAGGTAGGGCTAAGAGCCTCTACAGGAATGAGATACACAATATCTCTAAAGGTATACAGGATATTTCTGCTCATTGCTTCAGGACTTGTGACAAATAGATGATAAATTACAGACGATAGAAGAAAATGACTAGTGCAAAAACTGGATTATAATGAGGGACAGTTACACGTCAATAATCACATTCTCTCATGACCCATCGTGGACTAGTGGAAGTTAAGTCCAGAAGGTTGGAGAGAGATCCAGATGACTGAATGACCAAGATGTATTCTGTGTCTTGTTGAGGTTTAAGGGTTTTAAAGGTGCTGACCCACATTCAAGATCTCTGTTCTTCAGAATAGTCTCGTCTAACCTACTGACTGGAATCAGTCTTCTCGTGCTAGGGTATACCAATCTCTATACTAATTGACAGTAGAGAACTCCACCACCACCCTCACCTGTGGTTTGCAGGGGTGTAAGGGAGGATTAGCACCTCTCTCCAAAAGGCTTTTCAGGATCTTTCAAGTGTCTCATCCTTATTGGTCCTTACCTTGACTCAGTCTCACCTGTAGCTCCAAGCAGCTATGGGAAATCAGGTGGAAATAATAGAATGCTGCAATAAAAGGAACTGAAAGAAGTTTCTGGTTGAATGAAGTCAGATGTGCTGGATGGCATTATTCAACTGTAACCAACTTTCAACTCTCTTCCAACTAAAAAGATCTTCAGTCCTTACCGAAACAATGCACATTGGCCATTATGTCAGCTTGAAACAATGGCAATCTCAGAATTAAACTTCCAATCTCATACCCACCCCATCATAAATTACCATAACTAATTCATGTCCTTGGCAACCCAAGCCCCTTCTACTGCTGTGCATCACTCTCCAGTCTTTCCACCTCTAAATGCATTAACCTATAGTTCATCCAAAACAACTTGCAATACTCTGGACTGAAGTCCCATTTGTATACCTCCAGTACGCTTGCTGATCTATTTGGCTCCCACTTTGTAGAAAGCTTGCTTGGACATGATGTGTTCAATGGTCTCACAGCACAAAAAGAGGCCAACTGATAATTCTGCAGGGCCTTGTCCTTCCCTATACCTCTATCCTCTTCAAGCATTTCAGACCTCCCTGCTCAGCAAGATTAATGTTGAAAAGGGTTGCCTATAATTGAATCTGGACCAGGTGGAATACAAGAAACTCTCAATAATTATTCAAGCCAATTAAATAGAGAAAATTACTTGAGTTACTGGTTATAGAAATTAAGGCCTGGATCTCAGCCAGACAGCAAATTTGGTACAGACAGACTACTCAGACACCAGCAAAAAGGTTTTGTAAATATCCCACTGAATTTAATTGCTCCCTTTTTTCCTCCCCCCACCCCCGTTTGTGGTATTTCCATCCACAGGGCATCAATTAATAGTCTACAGGTCTTTTGGAAGAAAAGCAATATTGGAGCAGACAGAGAGATCACGTTGATTTACATGGTAGCTTGCTGGGCCTTTATAAAATACGCCTGCTTTCATGGCCCACAAGTAAAGACACTTGTCTAATTGATTCAGCCCTTCAGGGCTTCTTTCAGCTACCGAGTCTCCTGAAGGCCTGAGAAAGCTGGCCACCTGCAGTTATAAACATAAACCTAAAAGAAAACTAAAATTACACTGCTAGCACAAAAGCAGGCAGTTCCTTACAATCAAACAAGCAAAGAAATTCTCATGAGAAAAATTAATTATCCGTTACTCATCCCAGCTCTATTAATATCAGAAGATGTCAGATTTAATTTCGGATTCCTTGCCTTTAACCTCCGACTCAACCACAACCCACCCTCAGCTGAGAGCAATTGCAGGAGAACTGCTGGAATTTCTTATAAAAGAAAAAAAAAATTAAAATGTACTACTGGCTAGTTTGGCATTATAGAGAGAGAAATGCAGCTTATACGCCTACAAGTATTGTGGGAATAAATGTGGACACTTACTGCAATCTCAACACACCACTATTTTCCAACAGAAATAACTTCATTACATTTGACATTATTGTTAAACCAACAAAAAAAAAATATTAAGCCATTATGCAATGTTAGCAATTACTATTTGAAATGGTTCAAATTTCCATAAAACACTCACCATTATATTCTGGAAAATAATCAACTAGATGAGAATACATGATCTTTTCTTCCAGAAGATCTTTCTTGTTTAGGAAGAGAATGACTGACGAGCTATGAAACCAGGGATAGGTGATAATTGTCTTAAATAATGCCTTGCTCTCCTCCATTCGATTCTAAAAAACAGAATATAAGACAATTGTACATTAAACAAATATAACAGCAGATTACCAATAGAAAACCTTCTGCACAAGATCTTTGGGATGCATTCAAAGTTACCTTGAAAAGGTGATTCTGTCCAAGGCCAGAATTCTGCCTAGTTTTCTTCAGAGGAGCATATGCCATGTGACATTATTTCTGAAATGTTTTTAATTGGGTTGTTTTGTTGATTAATATTTTCCCACCTCTGACAATGTCAATTCAGCAGTCTAATTCTTCAGTGCTGTTTACTGAAAATTGTATTCACGGGCATAGTAAAACCAATGAAGAACCGAAAGTGACACAGCCAACAGCCAAAGAAGTTAATCCTGTTCTATAGGAGCAGAAAGCAAAAAAAGGGGAATAAAACTGGGGCAGACCGCCTGGCATCAACCTAGGTATCATAAATAGTGGCACAGCCAGCCCAGTCACTCTTTCAAAATTTCCATATGTGGGAAAATTCAGAAACCTGTCCCACAAACTCGTCAAACACAGCCATATTATAAAGCATGCCCCATCACACTGACAAGGCAGACCAAACAGGGGTGGTGGTACAGTAATATATAGCTGGAATAGTTTAGCCCTGGTAGACCTCATCATTGATCACGGATACCATGAAATTGCATCCCTCACCATCCACTACCATCCCCCAGCCAACGAATTAGTGCTCCTCCATGTTAAATGTGACCTGAGGGTAACGTGAGCGCTATGTATTCAGGTGGGCGCATTCAAATGCTTATCACAAAAAGTGGCTCAGTGTCACAACTACTGACATAACTACCAAATCCCAAAGAACATAAATGCTAGACAGGGCCTTTGCCAGCTGGTGGCTGAAGCAACAAACCTACTCCATTTTACTAAAGTACCTGCCACAGGCAAAACACAACAGTACTATTGAAGTATCTACTGTACAGTCGCATCAGAATTAAATTCATCATCAATCTAACCTCATTGACTAAAATATCCTTCACTATAGCATCACCATCGAACCAAGGGATCAGTCCATGAGGAATGTAGGAAACCATGCCAGGACAAGCACCTGGCATTCTTAAATATGAGTTACAAACCTGTTGAAGCACAACACAGGACCATGCCGGGCAGCAGTAGTAGTATTGCATTGGCAGATCCCACAACCAACAAATCAGATCAAAGCTATGCAATCCTACCACATCCAGCCTTGAATATTGATGAACAATTAAACAAGTGGAGGGGGCAGTTTCACAAGTATCAGCACAGTCAGTGATGGGCAAACCAAGGACACCACTGTTTAAAAAAAATAACTGAAGCATTTATAACCATCTTCACTCAGAAGTACAAGTGGATGATTCAGCTTGCCCTCCTTCATAGGTCCCCACATCACCTACATGAATCTTCAGCCAATTTATTTCATTCCATGTGATATCAAGAAAAGGCTTAAGGCACTGGATACATCAAATTGTTCAGCGATTAACAACATTCCGGCAATTGTACTGAAGACTCACACTCCAGAACTAGCCATTTTATCTGTAAAACTATTCTACTACAGCTACCTCACTGACATATGCACAACAATGTGGAACATTGCCCAAGTTAGTTTTGTTCACAAAAACCAGGATAAATCCAATCTGGCCAACTAGCACTCCAATGATTCTCTCTAACTCAGCAACAAATGAAAGAAAGGTATTGTCCTAGCAAGTGCGATTAGGGGAAATGTGGTCGGCATGGACGAGTTGGATCAAAGGGTCTGTTTCCATGCTGTATGACTCTAAGACTCTAGAACATATCATGTATGTCAGGGTCCAACCATTATAGCCCCTGCATTGCTCCAGGATTTACCCAGGGCAGTGTCCTCAGATTTGGCTCATCAACAAGATCACGATAAGTTCTGAAGTGGAGTTGTTTAACAATTGCACAAGGCTCAGTACCATCTACAACTTCTCAGTTACTGAAGCAGTCTGTGTCCTTATGGCCAACATTCAGACTTGGGCTGATGAGCGACAAGGAAAATTTATGCCACACAATTGTGCAGAAATGACCATCTCAAAACGAGAAAGAATCTAAACATTTCTCTTAAATTCAATGGCTGTGTCACCACAGAACTTCCCAACATCAACATCCATTGATCAGGTTAGCATTCACCAGAAGCCTAATTAGAAGAACCACATAAATGCTCCAGCTACACAAACAGATCAGAAGCTAGAAATTCTCTCAAATGTAATGTACCTCTTTACTCCCTTAAGCTTGTCCACTACATGGAAGGCACAAAGCAGGAAAAATGATGGAATACTACTTGCCTGAAGCAGTGCATTCTCAACAACAGTCAAGATGCTCGACACTAAGTCAAAACAAACGACTAATCTGCATTCCATCAAATAATTGGAACATTCCATCCACTCCAACACCCCCATCACCAAAGCAGGTGGCAATGGTGCGTACCATGTGCAGATAAAATACAGCAAATCACCAAGCCTCCTTCAACAGTATTTATCAAACTAGCAACCTCCACAATTTAGAACCATAAGGATAGCAGTCTAATGGAAACACTAAACACAATTTCCCCTTCAAGCATCAATACCATCCTAACTTTGAACTGCACTTCACATTCACTTTGTTGCCACAGGGTCAAACTCCTGGAAATCCCTTCCTAATAGCATTACGGGTGTACCTACACCACATGGAGGGCAGCAATCAAAAGGAAGTTGCACAGCATCACCTTAAGACCAATTAGGAATGAACAATAAGTGCTTGCCTCACGAACAGGAGAATATTCAGCCCATGGTTGCTCCATCACTCTAGATTATGTGATGATAATTGACATTAACCTAATTTTCCTGCGCTTCCTCCATATTCCTTGATGTTATTGATATCAAGGACTCTTCTGATTTCTATCATGAACACACTCATTAACGGAGCTTCCACAGCCCTTTTAGGTAGGGACTCCAAAAATTCACTATTTGAGTGAAAAGGCGAGTACGGTCTTTCAAATTATTATGCTGCCAAGTTATTTAAACGGTCAGCCCTTTAGAATTGAAGTAAAACTGTCCGAGTAGTTAAAAATCAGTTCTAGTGGTTTCAATAGCTGTTTGTTGACAGAACCTCAAGAGCTTCCATTCTAACATTATGAATGTTTGACTGCTTTCCACCAGCATTATCGGGGCAGCACGATGGCTCAGTGGCTAGCACTGCTGCTCACAACGCCAGGGACCCGGGTTTGATTCCAGCCTCAGGTGACTGTCTGCATGGAGTTTGCACATTCTCCCAGTGTCTGCGTGGGTTTCCTCTGGGTGCTCCGGTTTCCTCCCACAGTCCAAAGATGTGCATGGTAGGTGGATTGGTTATGCTAAATTGCCCATAGTGCCTTAGGTTAGGTGGGTTAGACATGGGAAATACAGGGATAGGGGAATGGGTCTGGGTGGGATGCTCTTCAGAGGGGCGGTGTGGACATTTGTTGGGCCAAATGGCCTGTTTTCCATACTGTAGGGATTCTATGATTATTGTGGAGGAAAAAAGGGTGCCCTTGGTTTATATTTTGATTGACAGCTCAGAGCAACCATTAAACATTAGCTGCCTTTGATATGGGATTATTAATTGAGGCTGTAGGAAATTTATATTCTTTGAATAGGCATTCATGAATAGAGTTTTTTTAAATCTCCTTGGAAGGGCAAGGGCAGCAGATACATTGGAGCACCACCAAATGCAAGCTCTCCTCCAAGTCGTCCACCTTCCTGACATGGAAATATATAACCATTCCTTCACTGCTACTGGGTCAAAATCCCAGAATTTCCTCCCTAATGGCATTGAGGCTCTATTGACAGCACATGCACTGCAGCAGCTCGAGGTGGTAGCTCACCACTACCTTCAAGGGCAATGACAATTGAGTAATAAATGCTGACCTAACCAGCAAAGCCCATGTCCCACGAATGAATAAAAAGGAATATTAGATATGTAGAACTTTATTTCTTCTCAGCATGGCTTCTGAGGGTCCTCATGGTGGGTGTAAAGTGAGTTGACACAGAACTAGTGATTATGTCATAATTTGGCACCACGGTGGTATTAGAGTATAAACCACCAAAATCATGGGTTGGGGCCTTTAGTTGGCACAGTTTGGCATGTATGGCATGGGTGGAAGGTTTGATGCTACAAGGTCTAGCGTTTCAAGAGATGACTGGGACAAAGCCCTGGAGAACCAGAGTAAACTTTTGAACAGCCCAACTCTGCATTCATCAGCCCGTGGTCATCTCTGCTCCACATCCAAGAGCAAGGCAGTGCGCCCAAATCTATCCCACATCGACCCTGCTCTCTGGCTGCAGAAAAAATGATCACATAATATGAAGACGACGCAGCAAATCAAGAAATTCCCTAAATCCCACTATCCACCAAATCCAGTCCCTTGTATGCAATACTATCATGAACCCAAACCAGAATCTACAACTCTTACATTGATAGTTAACTAGATTGAATAATAGCGTCATTTACTTCAAAGAAAAACAACTTTGGATTTCAATTACTATTAATCGTTTCAATTGTAGGACATGTACAACAGTCAGACCACTCAGCCTTACTCATACTCCATTTCATTTATTTCGTATTATTTTCATTATCAATTGTCTATTTCATTTGGGGAGTTCGATTGAAATTAGTTTTTGTGGGAAGTTCCAAAAGGAAACTAACTCTTTGCAGTACAATTAACAATCTGAGTGAAACACACAGCAAAGAAAGGGCTGATAAATGAAATCAAGTCAGCCAAATTCAACTCTAGGCAAATTATGGAGTTTCATCGTTACATGGAAGAATATAAACTTACTACTTAAGCTTTCTTCACTATGTGTTTCATCCAGATCATGAATTGCACTGTGAAAAAAATGTTTCTTTTTTGAACTTTCAGCATCAGGATACAGTCTCACTCAGCAAAAAAAAACCTGACTAAACATTGAAAATTAACTTTTTTTAAAAATGGATGAAATGGCATGAAAACGTGTATAAATTCAGGAATATGGTACTGGTTATTCTTTACCATCAGTGCAAAGCTACGATAAGCGCTTCAGTTTTTGACAAAGCCAATGCTACACAAGATTCAGAAAAATATGGATTGAAATAATTAACTTCATAAATTTCTACTTCTTGTGCCTTTAGGAATTTCTAACACTTTAAAAATGGGGCATGTCTTCAGTAAAATTTGGGTCTTGTTGACAATCTTATTATACGATTGCTGATAAACAATTACCTCATTATCACACTCAGCCAGAACCTGATCATATTCACTTAGTGCAACTAGGAAAATGATTGAGGTGACATTCTCAAAACAATGAATCCATTTTCTTCGTTCAGATCTCTGACCTCCAACATCCACCATCCTAAAAGTAAAGCAAAAAACATTTCCAAACTATGTTAAAATCAATAGTCTTGAATGTTCAAACTAAAATATGTAATCCATAAACAAAATGGAATGAAGTGTTGCATTTTGGTAGTGCTGTAACTTGTACAGTTAATTGTAGGGTCCTGGGGATTGTTGCCAAACAAAGAGACGTTGGGGTGCAGTCACAGGTAGACAGGGTAGAGAAGCAGTGTTTGGTATGTTTTCCTGTATTGGTCAGTGCATCGAGTAAGGATTTGGGACATCATAATGCAGCTGTACAAGACATTGTTCAGGGCACTTTTGGAATACTGCATTCCAGTTCTGGTCTCCCTGCTATATGAAAGATGTTCTCAAACTTGAAAGGGTTCAGAAAAGATTTGCAAGGATGTTGCCAGGGTTGGAGGGTTTGAGCTACAGGAAGAGGTTGAATAGGCTGGGGCTATTTTCCCTGGAGTGTCATAGGCTGAGGAGTGACCTTATAGAAATTTATAAAATCATGAGGGACATGGATAGGGTTAATAGTCAAGATCTTTTTCCCAGGGTACGGAGTCCAAAACTACAGGGCACAGGTTTAAGAGGAGAAGGGAAAGATTTAAAAGGGAACCGAGGGGCAACTTTTCCACGCAGAGGGTGAAATGTGTATGGAATGTGGAGGCTGATATAATTACAACATTTAAAAGGCATCTGGATAGTTACTTGAATGGGAAGGGTTTAGACAGATATGGGCCAAATGCTGGCAAATAGGACTAGATTAGTTTAGGATATCTGGTTGACATGGATAAGTTAGATTGAAGGATCCGTTTCCATACTGCACAACTCTATGACTCTACAATCCTACTAAAATTGATTACTGATAATACATTCACAAGTTGCATCAGACTAAACACACAACAGAGAACATCGGGAGAGAATGCAGATTGAACAGCAAGTAGGAATCACCAGCACAGACACAGACGCTGAGCACATTGAGAGAGCAGGGGCAATGGCTTTGGGAAAGAGGAGTCTAAACAGAGAGAGAGAGACCAGTAGCAGAGAGACAATGGAATACAACAGCTTAAGCAGAAAACGGCAACCACTACCTTAATTCTTATTTTTATTAAATAAGAATCAGTTCTACCAGTGAAGTGTGTTAAATGTTAAAGTGCTGGAATTTGTGAAAAGTAACTTTTTAACAACCTTTAAATATCTCATCACCTAAATGGGACTTAGAACAAAGTTGTTTCGGTAAATTCAATTCCTAAGATTTAAAACAGGACAAGAACTTTTAATTTGTAACATGGGTGATTTGATAAGGTGTTTCGGTGTTTCACAACATGTCGAAACAGTTCTATTAACAATACCGGGGCCTCTTGTGGCACAGTGGTATTGTTTCCCCTGAGCCAGAGGACTCTGTTCTGAGGGGCACTGTTCCTACGTGTGAGCCAGAAGGCTCTACTTCAAATCCCCTTTGCTCCAGTTTTTAAAAAAAAGTAACTATAACAAAAAAACAGCTGGGTTCTGAGGGAGGCTGTTGTGGTGTAGTGTTGTGTCCTTACCACTAGGGTAGAACGCATCAGGACAGGTGGGTTTAAAAAAAAAGAGCGGGGTTCTTCTGCATTGGAATGTTGACTTCCAGACAAGGGAAGGATCCAGAAGGGAAAAGTGGAACTAGCAATTGTACTAATCTACAAATCTACACTAAAACCCTTGTAAGTCTCTGAAAGTAATTTGCTACCCTAATTCGACAAATGGATATTAGTCTGTGAAACACTGATTGATTTCATCTTAGATTTTTTTTAAAAATGGCTATGGAGATAATTGATGCATTGATAATAATTTTGCAATACTCCCTAGATTTGGGGGAAGATTCCATTGGATTGGAAATGGCAGATGTAACACCTTTATTCAAAAAGGGAGACACTCAAAGCAGGAAACTAAAGGACATTTAAAGTTTTAGCAAAGATTTGTAGCTCGGGTTGTGGGTGAGGTTGCTGACTTGTTTTCGCTCAGACGTTTCATCACCATGCTGGGTAACATCATCAGAGGCCTCTGATGAAGCGATGTTGTTCTACTCTGCTTGGAATTTATACTGTCTGGTCCGTTATGGTGAGTAGCATCATTTCCGGTTTTGATCGGTATGGTTTTGTATATGGGGTCCAATCTTATAGGTTTGTTGATTGCATTACAGGTTGAGAACCATGCCTCTAGGAATTTCCGTGCGTGTCTGTGTTTGGCTTGGACTACTATAGTTACATTAGTTAATTGGACAACGTGATCATAGTAGCCCAAGCCAAACACAGACACGCACGGGAATTCCTAGAGGCATGGTTCTCAACCTGTAATGCAATCAACAAACCTATAGAATTGGACCTCATATACAAAACCATACAGATCAAAACCGGAAATGACGCTACTCACCATAACGGACCAGACAATATAAATTCCAAGCAGAGTAGAACAACATTACTTTAACTGGAGGTTCCACTGATGATGTCCCCTAGCACGGTGACGAAACTTCTGAGCGAAAACAAGCCAGCTCGGTGAGCAAGTCAACAGCAGCAAACTAAAGGGCAGTTAGCCCAACATCATTAAGAAAAATGTTATACATTATAAAAAAAAATTATGGCAGAGCACTTAGAAAAGTTGAAGGAAATCAGGCAGAGATTCAGCATGGTATTCTGAAAGCAAAATCATGTTTAACCAATTAATTGGAGTTCCTTGAGGAAGTAACATGTGCTTTGAATAACTGAGGAATCGGTGCATGTTCTGTGTTTAGATTTCCAGAAGGCACTTAGCAAGGTGCCACATCAAAAGGTTTTGTGGAGAACAGAAGTTCACAGTGTAGACATGAAGATTGGCTGGCTAACTGCAAGCAAAGCATAGACTTAAATGGGTCAGTTTCCAGTTAGTATAACATGACAAGTGGTGTGCCACAAGGATCAGTGCCGAGACCTCAAATTCTTACAATTTGTATGATTTACTGTGTGAATGGAATCAAATGTATGGCTGTGACATTTGCTTGTGACACAAAGATAGCTAGGAAAGTCAGTTGTGAAGAGGGCATTACACTACCAGAGATTCCAGATAGGTTTTAAATGAATGGATGAAGATCTGACAAATGGTAGCATAATGTGGGAAAATGTGAAATTGCCCATGTTGGCAGAAAGAATAAAATTGAAGTGTATTATCCAAATGGTGAGAGATTGCAGAACTCAAAGATGAGAGAGATCTGGGTGATCTTGTGCATAAATTGCACAAGGTTACCGCAAAGGTTTAACAAATAATGAGTTAATACAGTGTTATTGTTTATTGTAAGTGGAATGCAATACAAGAAGGGAGGATATGCTTCAATTACACAGGGCACTGGGGAAACCCACATCTGGAACATTATACATAACATTGGTCTCCTTAATTAAGAAAGGATGCAAGAATCTTGGAGGCAGTTTGGAGAACATTTACTAGCCTAAAAACTAGAATGGGTGAATCGTCATATGAGGAAAGATTGGGCAGGCTCAACTTGTATCTTCTGGAGTTTAGAAGCATAACAGTCAAATTGATTGAATACATGATCTGGAAGGGTCTTGATAGAGTAGATGTGGAAAGGATGTTTCCTCTTGAGGTAGTTTCAAACTAGGGATCACCATATAAAAATAAGGGATCATCCATTAAAGACAGAGATAAAGTGATTTTTTTTTCTCAGAGGGCCATTAATCTTTGAAATGTTCTTCCTCAAAAGGCAGTGGAAGCATCTTTAAGGTAGATGTTGCTCAGCAAGGGCGTGAAAGACTATTAGACATAAGTGGGAATGTAGAGCAATGAGCCATGATCTTGTTTAATGACAGAGCAGTGAGACGGACCGAGTAGCCCAGTCAGGTTCCTAATGTGTATTCTCTTTCACAACAGAAGGTGGATTTCAAGTATTTGCAGTTGATCCCTTTATACTGGCACACATCAATAGTCAGGTTTTCTATTTTATATGCACACGTCATAAACCTCATGCATTTGGGCTGACCCACTGGCAAGATTTCTCAGGCGGCTTTCAAATGGAAGTATTTCCTTAAAGTGCAACTTGAGAATATAAACAATTTATAATGCAGCAAGAGAGTGTCAAAACGTCTTTTTCAGTATTAAAAAAAGTCTCACCCAAAAACTGAAACTAGGTCACTACTTGAATGAAACAAGAGACTGGGTTTACAAATACCTACACTGGAAAATCCACAACCTCCTAAAATGAAGCTAGTTTTACTACCATCTCCAACAACAGGAGCCAGGACTACTTATTTATTTTGATGGATGGGAATTCATTGATCCCAACTGCACTGGCAGGGGTAATATTCAAGGAACCTTATTCTCTTGTCTTTTAGAGAAGTTTACAGAAGTGCACATAGGGCTTTGGCTTTAAATACGTACAAACATCTTTCAAATCATAATATTTAGGGAACGGTCCTTGTTTTCACACAAGTCACTGCAAGGTCTTGACAGATTCCCGAACTTCCATATTTACACCTTTTGGATTATAAATATGGCTACTACACTATAATCAAGGTTGATGCACATATTCATACATAAAAATACTGCCATTGTGTTATAGTAAAAATGCACATGGAGTAACTCATCAGTTCAAGAAATCACTTACAGCCAAACATCTGTATCCAGGAGGTGGCTCATCAGTCATTGCATTTCAGTTATCAGAATGCTTAGTGAGTCAGGCTTAAGTATTAATTTGAGCCTCTGATAAGTACAGTAGCCAAATTTGTGCTATGTATTTCCCAAACTATGTTCCCTGAATGATCAATGCAAACGAGACTCCACCTTTGCACAGAATGTACTAAAGAATGTTCTCCTTTACATTACAGTGTGTTTTGGTTCATGTGAAACTGACATGATGCTTTTTCACATTAAAATGAAAAATCCATTTCAAATTAACCAGTTGCAATACCTGAAGATTATGTTCTCCAAATCAAAAGGATATTCAATGATTCCAGTTGTTGGTACCCTGACCCGCAGTATGTCTTGCTGAGTTGGTACATATACTGGTGAACTAATGCGGTCTACATCACTAAGATAGCTGCAAAATGAAAAGAGATCAATCATAGCAAATTACAAAACCTTTCAATATTATTCAATGCATCAATGAGTAAGAAAAGCAGAATTAAAACTGACGCAAACCAACAGTTGCTAAAGACAAACATATTTAATAATTGCTGATTCATCTCATTCCTGAAATATGACAGAATCCCACAGAAACAAAACTTTACAGCAGTGTTATGGTGTGCAGGCAGCCAAACCAAATCAGTCCGTCTACCTCTATTTGCAACATAGTAAAACTAAAACTGTCAAAAACCCTCAAAATTGACCCCAATGGTTCTTAACCAGGCTTTTGAATAACCAAATGTGAATAATTAATTCCAAACAGTAGTTTGCATCTGAAACAAAAGGCTTAGCAACTTATTAACAATACAGTAACTTTAGCAGAGCAAAACTTAAACAGCAAAATCTAATTGGTCTATACTTTAAACCCAAAGCTTATGTTTTCAGTCTCATTCACACAGAAGACAGATAGACAAACAAACACAGTTAAAGGATAACAAAAAGTAACAAAAAACTGACAGATTACTGAAGTGGTTTTCACAACGTGTTGTTCCATAGACATAGATGATGGTTGATTTTCTGAAGGTGTTGATCAGGGTCAACTTTACAGTTCACTCAGAAAGCGTGTCATACTTATAACTTAGTTTTCTATTCTGAACTTCCAAGAGCTGCTCATGACAGGTTAGACTGGGATCTATCAAACCTTCATGCTGTAGTGCAAACAACCAGACTCCTCCTTTATATAAAACACTGTTCAAAACCCAATTCAAACTCTGACAGACCAACCATTTCCTCCATGAGGTCCAAATTACTATTTAACATCTGCCATCTGTCTCAGCACATGGTCTTTGCCAAACTTGCTGGAATCAGTTCCCAATTACTGACCTCATTAATAGTCAACTTCTGCTATCTGTTGAAATAATGTTCTTCCTCGGTAACCAAGTGTCTGCAGAACTTTTTGATCAGGAACAAACCTGCAATTAACTTCCAGGACTGGCCTTGGGCTTGCTTTCCTTTCAACACAAGCTATTGCCCATAGTCCAGAAGTTGTCTTTAGCTCTCAGCTCACAGGTCCAAACCAAAATTGATCAAAGTTAAAAAAATGTAAAAATAGTGAAAAATCAGTGAGGGCTCTAAAACAAAAAGAGGCCACTTGTCCACTGTTGGCTCTTGAGTAGAACAATTCAAAACTAATACAACGGTCTTACTTTCTCTCTGACTTGTGTCTCCCCTTTATTCAAATGTTTGAGTTTACTTTTCCCTTAAAATTGCCTCAACTTTGAACAAATTTTAACAAACTATTCCATATTCTATTTGATCACTACCTATCAAAACTTAAGAACCTCTCCTTATTTACAGTGACAATTCTAAGTGGAGTATCCCTCATTAGTGGGGATGCAATCAGACAAAATTGTTTTCTCTATCAAAACCCTACGTAACTTTCACAATATCAATTAAAATTAGTCAGGACCTCATGGTTCCAATTTGCCCTGAATACAATTTCATGTCAATACATCAATGAATCCAAGTGTATGTGCTCTCCAGACCAGGGCTTTCTATTTTCTTTCTTTCATATAAAGAAGACATTTTAACACTGTCCTTCATTCCCCAAAACCTAAATTCAAACCAACTCTATGAATGTAAATATAGAGAATAATATGAACCATCACTTTTGTTTCTTCTTCACAACCCATTTTCAGTCCATGCTGCACCACTTTTCAAATCACAATATGCTTCTGCTCTTATGGAATATAACTGCATCATAACTACTGCTTCTATTGCTGCTTTCATTCTGATGAGTCTGCACTGTATGCGCTCTGTTGCTTTAATATCTTTTCCATAATGGTCATCTATAACTGTACTTCTTTGTCAAAGTTATATCTTGGAAGTAAATTGGGGTTGAGACAGATGAAGTCAAACTTGATATAAGCAGCTTAATTCCACAAATGTACAACATGCCAAGACGAAATTTAATCTTTTTATAAAATAACAATAACTTGTACTTATGTAGCACTTTAATGTCAGAAAATGCCTCGAGGCAATTCACAGGGGGATTAACAAACTTTGACAAAAAGAGACTCAAGGAGATATTAGCACACAAAACTGGAAGTTGTGTTCACAAATGTACACTATAAGGAGGGAATGTAGAAATAATTCCAGAACATGAGTTTAGGTAGCTAAAGCTGGAATCCCCATGGTGCAACAACTAGGATAAGATCACCCCACGATCTAGGAGCAGAAGTAAGCCATTCAACCTGAGTAGGGAAACGATTGGAGAAAATTCCGAAGACAAGATTTGATCAGGAATAGACAGCATGGCTTTGTCAGAAGGAGATCGAACCTACCAAATTTGATTTGATTTTGCAAGGACGGGTCCAGATGCTTCAGCAAAGCCTTTGACAAGGTCACACATGAGAGATGGATAAAGAAGGTAAAAGCACTTGAGAGCCAGGGTAACTTAGCAAGATAGATCCAAAATTGGCTTCCTGTTAGGAGACAGAGGGTAGTGGTATAAATAAGTTCGCAGATGACATGAAGATTGGTTAGATGGTTGATTGTGAAGGTCGTCTTAGGTTACAGGAGGATACAGGCAGATTGGTCACATGGGCAAGTTGAACTCAACCCTGATACGAGCGAGGTGATAAAATTTGGAAGAAATAACAACACGAGGGCTTACTCAGGGAAGGGCAGGGCACTAGCAAGCTCAAAAGTGGGATATTGAGGTTCTTGCCCACAGATTCCTGGACAGGTTAACAGGGTGGTTGAGAAGGTATACAGGACGTGACTTTATCAGTCATACATAGGTCATAAGAGCAGGGAGGCTATGTGGGAGCTGTACTTGACTTTGGTTAGGCCACAGCTGGAGTAGTGTACACAGTTCTGGTTGCCACACTGTAGGCAGGATGTGATTGCATTGGAGAGGGTGCAGAGGAGCTTCAGCAAGATGTTGCCTTGGTTGGAACATTTTAATGCTGAGGAGAGACCACATAAGTCCAGTTCGGTTTCTTTACAGAAGGTTGAGATGGGATCGGATTTAAGTGTATAAGATTATGAGGGGCATTGACAAGGTGAATCAAAAGCAGCTGTACCCGTTAATGAAAGGGTGAATAAAGAGGGGACATAACTTTCAGGCGAATGGCAGAAGGCCCAGAAGGAATTTAAGGAATCTTACCACCATCTGAATGAAAGTATCTGCAATGCACTGCCTGGGAGACTAGTAGAGTCGAGAAGCCTCACAACCTTTAAAAAGTACATGGATGAGCACTTGAAATGTTCACAACATTCAAGGTAATAGATCAAGTGCTGGAAGTGGGATTAGTGTAGGTACATCAATGCAGACTCAATGGGCTGAAGGGATCCTTCTGCGCTGTGTGAGTCTATTCCGCCATTCAATAAGACCATAGATACTTAATGACCCACCTTCAACTGCCCTCTGTGATAAATAATTTCACAACTTCACAGCCCTCAGAAAAAGATCCTCATCTCTGAAATGTGCAACCCATTACTCAGATAATGCCCTTTGGTCCCACACTCCCCCACAACAGGAAACAACCTTCCTGCATCCACCCTGACAAGTCCTCTATGAATCTTGTATATTTGCAGAACGTCACCTTTTGTTCTTCTATATCCCAACAAGTATTGGCCTAATCTATTCAACCCCTCCTCATAAAACAGACACCCACCATACCTAGTATCACTCTGGAGAACCTTCTCTGGTCTGCCCCCAGCGCAAATAAGGAGCCCAAAACTTTTCATAGTATTCCAGCTGTGGGCCGACTAATGCCTTGTATAGTTTTACCAAAATCACCCAAGTGAGATTGGGGTAATCTAATTTTAGTCTTCAGGATAATAACAAGGAAAGATAGAGTAGATGAACTTTCCACTGGTTGAAGATTATACAGCCAGGGACATAGGCTATTCAGGACAGATGTTGGAAAGTATTTCCACACGCAAAGAATAGAGAAGGTTTGGAACTCTCTTCCTGAAATGACAGTTGATATTAATTCAATTGTTAAATTTAAATCTGAGATAGACAAACTTCTATTAAGCAAGGGTATTTCGGGATATGGGGCCAGGGGAGGCACACAGAGTTAGGTTTCAAATCAGCCATGATCTATTTTTTTTTAAAAATTAATTTGTGAGATTTGAGTGTTGCTGGCCGGCCAGCATTTCTTGCCCATCCCTTGTTGTCCTTGAGAAGGTGATGGTGAGCTGTCTTCTTGAACTGCTGCAATTCACTGGCTGTGGTTAACCCACAATGCTGTTAGGGAGAGAATTCCAGGATTTTGACACAGCAAGTGAAGGAATAGCGATATATTTCCAAGTCAGGATGGTGAGTAGCTTAGCAAGGAATTTACAGGTGCTGGTGCCCCCATATATCTGCTGCCCTTGTCCTTCTAGATGGAAGTGGGCATGAATTTGGAAGGTGCTGTCTGAGTATCTTGGGTGAATTTCTGTAGCACATCCTGTCGACAGTACACACTGCTGCTACAGAACAACAGTGATGTAGTGGGTGGATGCTTGTGGATGTAGTGCCAATCAAGTGGGCTGCCATGATCTGGATGGTGTCAAGCTTGAGTATTGTTGGATCTGCACCCATTCAGGCAAGTGGGGGGCATTCCATCACACCCCTGACTTGTGCCTTGTAGGTGGCGGACAGGCTTTGAAGACTCAGGTGAGTTACTCACTGCAATATTCCTAGCTTCTGACCTGCTCTTGTAGCCACTGTGTCCACGTGGTGAGTCCAACTGAGTTTCTGGTCAATGATAACCCCGAGGATGTTGATAGGGGATTCAGTGATGGTAATACCATTGAATGTCAAAGGGTGGTGGTTAGATTATCTCTTATTAGTGATGGTCACAGCCTGGCATTTGTGTGGCGCAAATGTTACTTGCCATCTGTCAGCCCAAATCTATAGAAATTATCCAGATCACGTTGCATTTGAACATGGACTGCTTCAGTATCTGAGGGATGGCA